AGTTCTCAAGAAGGATAGCTAGTGCTCTGAAATTATCTCAGCCAATTCCTTCAGTATCCTATGCTGCAACCCATCCAGCCCTGCTGACTTGGAAGCATCTAATTTCTCCAAGTATTCCCAAACCTGTTCTTCTACTACTGTTGGCTTTTGTCTCCTTCCCTACCTTTGCTGTCAACTGTACTTTTCATCTGGTTGCTGTCCCTATTTGCAAAGACTACAGGAAAAAGAAGCATTAAATAATTCAACCTTATCTGCATCATCTGTAACCATATTGCTTTCTGCATTCCATATGGGACCTATGGTTTCCCTGGTCTTCCTCTTACTTTTGACAGACTTGTAGAATCCATTTTTATTTATTTTAATATCCCTTGCCAGCTGCCTCTCAAAGTGTGCCTTGGCCTTTCTTATTTTCTTCCTGCACACCTATGTGATATTCTTATTCACTTCCTTAGTGCTATGACTCAGTTTCTACTTTTTATATGGGGTTTTTTGAGTTTCAATTCATTGAAGCAATTCCTTCCTAGTCAGACTGGCCTTCTGTTGCATTTCCTATTCTTCCATTGCATTGGAATAACTTGCTCCTGTGTCCTTAAAAGGGCCTCCTTAAAGTACAGCCAGCTCTCCTGAACTCCTTTTTCCTTCAGACTTGCTTCCCAGGGGATCCTACCCACCAGTTCCCTGAGTTCATTAAAGTCTGCTTTTCTGAAGTCCAGTGTCTTTGTTCTGCTACTCTCCTTTCTTCTTCTTCTTCTTAGTATCTGGAACTCTATCATTTTATAGTCGCTATCACCCAAGTTGCCTTCCACCTCCACATTCTCTACCAATTCTTCCCCCTTTGTGAGTAGTAAGTCAAGAATTCCCCCCCGCCCAGTTGGCCTGTCTACCATCTGTATCAAAAAGTTATCTCCAGCACACTCCAAGAATTTGCTGGACTGCTTGTACACTGCTCTTTCTCTCCCTGACGATTAAATCCATGAGAACCAGGTTCTGCAATTTGGACGTTTCTGTTGGTTGTTTAGAGAAGGCCTTGTCCACCTCCTCCTGGTTTGGTGGTCTGTAGCAACACCTACTATCACATCCCCTCTCTAGTCATCAACTTGAATGTGCTGAAATGGTTCGCCATAAAACAGAGGCTGTATGGGCTCACCAGCTTCTATGTAGCAATGGCAACATGCTTCTTTGTGGGTAAGAGTGGCCTCATCATTGTGGTGGAGGTCTTCATGAAGGTGCCTCTGGACATGCAGAGGTTTGGATGCCATTGCTCATTTTCTCAGGTGGCCATGGTGATCCACTGTCACCAGTCACTGCTCATCTCCCTGGCCCAGAAATGCTGTTTCACAGTTTGGAGTTGCTCCCATGTCTGCCCAGCTACAATGTGGTAACCTACAGCCAAAAGATCTTCAGGGCAGCAGCTGTTGTCATGAACCAAGGTCTGGGCATTGCCACAGACTCTTCATTCTTTGGCAGCGGGCACATGCATGAGGTTCTCCCCTGAAAGTCCTATTCCATCATTCTTGGCACCAGTAAAAGTAGCCATCATGTTCATTAGGTCCCACCAATGTCATCTTTTCTACTTACTCTTCCTCACAAATTCACAACACTGGGCCAAAAAGGTCTTCAAGGCAATGACTATGTACAGACCGTGTCAATTGTGGTGGAAGCTCCAGGTCACAGTCAATGGTGGACAGGCAGCAAAAATGCAGTGGAAATTCAGGCACGCAGTGAGGGGTCCAAGCTGCACAGTGAATCATGCTAAAATTCCTCCCACACTTATTTCACCACCCACCCATAGTTTAAACAACCAGCACTGGCAGAGTCAGGGGAACCTACTGATACCTGACCAGTTCCAGGCATGCTGGCATGTATGCTTGCTGTTGGTGTAACAACATCAGTCCATTCAGCTACTCTTGAAACCTGCTCTGAAGGGTGACATATAGACATGTCAATCCTGTGACTCCTCCATTCTGGGACAAGTCGTGGAACCAGTCCCATAATGAATGCAATCTATTTATAGCCTAGTTGAAGACCCTGTGTTAGAAGAACAAGAGAAAGGGTATACCATGCGATCAGAGGAATAATAGGAAAGTTTGCAAAGTGGTAGTACTTTTGCCTGAAACACAAATCTTTAATGGGATGCAAAATTATTTCAATCTACAGTGTAAACCTGTTGAAGCTTTTGGAGACCATTTCTCCTCAGATTCCACTTTCCACCAACATATTTATTATTTTAAGTTTCCTGAGTCTGTAGTTATATAAATAGGGATTTGATGCTTTAACACAATGCTTGCTTCTTAATGCCAAGCTGCTTTGAATTTTGAAATAGTAAGACTGAATAATTTTGCCATACTTAGATGACAACATTGGATTAGTAGCTTCATCTGCCCAAAGTATAAACTGGACTGTCAATTACTAGTTAATATTTTCCTCAAATTCTCAAGTTCTAAATCTTATATCTTCCATCCTTTGACTGTTACAGTGTATTTGACTAACATATTGCCATGTTTTGTAATTGCATGGATTTATTGGTATATAGCAGAGCTGCTAAACCTCTGGCCTGTTGACACTATGTCATCCAGTCCACAGGCTCCCCTACTGTCAAATCTTCTGACCCATGGGGAGCCCCAGGCCTTGAATGCTGGATATGGTCCCCAATCCCAGCACACAGGGCCATGCAGGGGCAGTGCCAGGCCCCAGTACCCAATCCTGGTGCACAAGAGGAAGAAGGGGGCAGTTTAGGGCCTCTAAGACCCAATCCTAACACAAGGGGGCAGTGCTGGGCCCCTGAGACCCAATCCTGAGGGGAGGGGTGCAGTGTCAGGGCCCTAGGATGCAACCCTGGCAGGAGGGGAGTGGAATGGATAGGGTGGCCATCATAGAGGACAGTCCAGTTGTCCTCTGTCCTCTATTGATATGAAACCCGACACCTTTATGTCCTTTATTTTTCTCTTTAAGAGAAAAAGTTTCATATCAATAGAGGACAGAGTAGCAGAAAACTGGAATGTCCTCTATGATGGTCACCCTAGGAATAGAGCATTGCTAGGTCCCTGGGACCAAATCCCAGAAACAGGGGCCAGGACCCAATTTTGGTACACAGCGCATTATTACAGGCAGTACCAGGGCTCCAGGACCCAATGCTGGCGTGCAGGTCAGGGAAAGGATAATGGCAGCCCCGAGGCCCGATTTGGCCTCCAGACAGGTCCACATCATTCATGTGGCCTGTAGGGCCAAAAGGTTGAGCACTACTACGGTATATGCCATACATCTCTAAGAAGCAAGACATGCTTTTTGTGAGCCATGCCAGTTGCAAAGTCAATATATGGATATGCTTTACATTTCACTTGGAGAAATGTTACACACTATTTAATGTTGCAGTCTCTTAACGTACTGTATAAACATTTGTGTTCTTGTTTCCTTTTATTACAGGGGTTCTTACACCACTTCTGTGCAGCATGGTGTCGTGTAACAGTTGAATAAAATGGGTGATATTATCCATGTTGTAATCAGTCATATACGAAAAAAGTAATATTTTCAGAGTAATAATTTAACTGGAATAGGGATTTAAACACTTCAATCCAACATGAGATCTCGGAGTACAAGATGTATGTGTCTGGTTCCCTGATCACTACAACTGCACTATGCACAATTAAAGACACTCAGGGATGCACATTTGGAATTTCTAAAGACCATTGTAATTTATGTTTATTTTAATTACATCAATATCTGTCTATTTCAAAGCTTTTTGTAAAAGCAGGCACTGTTAACAAAAAGTTCAGAAAATTCCTTGTTATGAATGCCAACATGATGATCTACAGATCCATGCTTTCTAAATTGGCACAGTTCTGCCCAATTGTAACTTGACAGTTATGGCTGCTACTTTATGTTCAATGCATATTTACCATACCTTTCAGAAATCTGTAGGATGGATCCGTTACTAAAACTTGCCTTTAAATTGTGATTTCCCAAAATAGTTTGACAAAATGAAATAAAAACATGACTTAAGCAATTTGCAAGCTGAAAAAAGCCCTATTAGACTTGGTCATAATTTACAAACTTGTTTGCATCCTTAGGAGGAGGAAAAATGGGCTCTGGGATTAAAATAGTTCCTACCCTGAATGGGGTGGATCTCTCCAGAATATGATTTAAGCAGTGGCACTTAACCTCTGGCCTGTGGAGCCATATTATCTAGCCTGTGGGGCTTCCCATGGGTTCAGAAATTTGGCAGTAGAGAAGCAGTAGCAGTGTTAATTGCCTCCAGATCTGCGGCAATTAATTAACTGCCACCACTTCCCCACCACATACATTCTGGACCTGTGCAGAGTGCTGTGGTCTGGATGACATAGTTCCATGTTCCAGATCACATTGGAAGGTGGTTATTCTGTGGCTGTATCCAACATGTAGTCCATGGCTGGATCCAGCATGTGGGGTCATGCCAGTGCACTGGATCATATTAATGGTCTGACCCCAGACACCAACCCCAAGATAGATCCCACCCATGAACTGACCTTGTATCACTCATCTGACCCACAAGGCTGAGAGGTTGAACACCACTGAATTAAAGTATATTATCTGGTTGATGTAGGAAAACTTGTACTGTGTCTACCAGGAGTAAATCCACTGTGGGGAGAGGGTTCGTGGTGCAGTTACACGGCCTGTTTTGCTTTCTGTTCCACTCAATTGTAAAACAAGCTGCCAACAGGGACAGCTGCATTTATATTCAGGTGGGCCGAGGGAGTCAGTTGACTTCATGGTTTATTATTCTCTGCTTGCTTTCTATTAATATCTTCATTCCATAGGTGTTAACAACCCTGGATTGTCAACTAATCAAACTGCCCTTTCTCCTACAATTCTGGTAATGTTTGTCTTCTCACCCTCAGCATGTTCGATAAAGGGGTGGCTTTGTTCCTTGGGGATTCAAACCCACAGAAAATCAGGGGAAGGGCAGGACTGAAGACAGGCCCAGTTGTCCTGTGACTGTGGTGCAGCAGTCAGAGGCAGGAGGGAGATGCAAATGTGAGATGAACAAGTAAGTTACTGCAGTAACCCTTTCCTGGGTTATTCATTGCAGCAGGGGAAAAAAGCTGTAGGAGGCTGAACCAGCAGTACAACCAAGGCAGCTTAAAGACAAATATGGGCAGATTCCTAGGAGTTGGTCAACTCACATAGGGGTGCTGTGCATGGCTGAAGTGAGTCTTCCTTCGATTCCAGCCATTTGCTTCTGTATGTTGAGGGTGGAGGGCAGTTATGGGCATTCTGCAGAAAGGAGGGGACAATGAGGTGGAAGGAGAGCAGTTACAGCTCTTCCCCCATCTGCCCCATGGTTGGGACTGTGAGGGGTGGGGGGGACTGTTTGGGAAGGGTTCTGATGGGAAGAGCTTCCAGGGGTCCATGAGAGCCTGGATGGGAAGCAGCAGGCACCAAGGGAGTCCTGTAGGGTAGAGAGGCGTAGGGTGAGGAGGGGCTGGGGTGTTATGGGGGAAGGAGGGTCAGACAGGGTGGAGGATATGCAGATGAAATGGGTTCTGAGGTGGGGTTGGGAGTAAGAGGGATTGTGGATGAGGGGAGACCAGAGGGTGTGAGGGACTGCAGGGAGGTTTAGGTGGTCAGAGTGGCACAGGAGAGCACAGTGGGGCATGGGGGAACTAGTCAAGTCATGGGTGCTGGGGTGTGATGGGGATGAGTCTGTGCTGGATTCATGGGAGCACTTGAGGAAGTAGAGTAGAACTCAGTGGGGTGTTAGAAGGAGTAATTGGATCTGATGGGGTTTGGGGCCCAGTAAGGTGGTGGGGGGTGGAGTATAACGGGCATGGGATAACAGGGGACAGAGAATGTGGTGTTGAAGGCATTTGACATGGCAGGGACGATGCATAAAGGTCAGTGAGGGGCACTTCGGGACCATGGTGGAGTGTTCTGGGAACCCGCCTGTTGGAGTGCAGGGAGCAGTTCTGTCCATAGCCAGGCTAGGGGGTAACAAGTGTACTCCCCTGTCTCTGGTTGCCTGCCCAATCCTGGAGCTGGCAGTCAGCTCCCTGCCCTCTAAATCATTTACTTGTTTTGGCTTGAATTTAAACAGAATCATGTAGTCCTAGGCCCCTAGCATATTAGTAACACTTCTAGTTTCTTTTTAACTGGAAACAAAATGAGTTGTCTTATGTGGTGATACACCACACCATATACACCTCCATTTTCCAAATCCTAAACCTGCCCATAGTGGCTGCTGATGCTGTGCTTGTCTTGTGGGTAGATAATCTCTGTTTTCTGTACTTTTAATCCAAAACTCTTAGTGCTTAGACAGATGACATGTTTACACCAGTGTAGTCAGTCTTTGTACAGTTTAAATAGTGAGCAGACACATGACGTACAGTCCTGCACCAGTATGACCTATTTCAATCCAGTGGGGAATTACCCTGGGTAAAATCAGGGGTAAAACTATATTGGTGTAGCATATGGTAGTCTAAAGGCACATCTACATGTTGCCCTATGGCGATGTTGTTACTGTGCCATGCATTGATACTTCTAAAAGGAAGTAGGGAGTAGTACTTTTGGAAGTATTAAAGCATGGCATAGTAACTATCTGTATTGCACCGTACATATGGCGCACAGCTATTTTTAGCAGCTACTTTGCCATAGCAGCATGCTATAATGCAGGAGTGAGCTGCTACAACAAAGCAGCTGATGGGACACTATGTCACCATAGTGCATAGCTCTGGCATAGCTGCTGGTACACTATGTCACCATAGTGCATAGCTCTGGCAACGTAACGTCACGTCTAGGCATGTCTTAAGTCCAGGGCTATTCCATGTTCACTGACGGTGAACAAGCTATTGCCTGCTCCCTTGCCACTTTAGTGGTGAGGCATTATAGCTGCTTCCAGGAATTTCCTGGAATAGCTGGCTGGCTATTTCTGGAACCCTGTTTAATATATTTTGGGGGCCAAAACCAGGGTATATTACATTACTGTAAATGTGTCATGTATCCATACCTTCAGAAGTACTTTATTCTTTTGAATATAAAAGTAAACCTTAGGCCCCTTCCCATTCTAAATGTAAGCATTGCAGAGAAAAAAAAAACCCAGATACTATTTAATAATAATGTCTTAAGAAACATAGACAAATGGAAATACTTTTTTTAACTTTTAAAAATAAAATTAACAAGTAAACCTAAAAAGGGAGCTGGGCTATCTTCTACTTTTTAGAGTAAAAAAGCACCTTTGAAACATGGTATAAAGTTTGTAAGCACGTATTTCCCAAAATAGTTTCACTGCAGCATAAGTGCTATAATATCTACGTAGTTCACACATGCAGATGAAAGTTGCTAGTGTAATGATTGCTAAAACTAGAATACTCTGTTGTAGTTAGCAACTTAATGTTAAGAACAAGCAGAGTTTTATCATTTTTATTAGCTCTTTCTCTACAGTGGCCACAATGTTCCCACTTAATAATATTGTGCAAAGCTAATCTAAGGAACCGTGTTTATTTGTTCAATATGGAATTGACTGTTGTTGCATTTTGAGGGGTTTGGGCTCCTCTAAAAATTCGGCCCCTTTTAGTGAAATCGCCTTTCCATGCGTTTATAAGACTTAGTTCACTAACTCCTGAACAGTGGCATGTGACTCTTATATGCAAAGGCAATATCCATGGAACTTTCATTGCTGGAAAGTAACCTTCCTTTCTTCTGGCAGAAGGCATGGCAGGGTGGTAACTTAGGGACAGAAATTACACATAAACCGGTATAAGTGATTGGAAACCAAGTTCAAATCTGTAACACAACAGAAGTTCAGGGCACATAAACTGCTTCCAAAATGACTAAAACCAGTTTAAGATCAGTCTCGATGAATGTAGTATCAGACTTAATTGATTATTATTGAACTTCTGTCCCAGATCCCCTTCAGATTCAGGTAAACTCACAGTCCCCCAGCATCCCAAGATGTTTCGCACCTCCCCTATAAGCTCCCCTTCATAGGGTAGGTGAGCTAGCCTTGGCCCAAGCTATCTGCTCCAGCTGAGCAGGGAGGCATGCTCTAACACTGCATGGCTTTTGGCCTGGGACACTGCAGGTATGTGACTACATATCAGAATCAAAAGTGAATGTATCTTCACTTGCTTGTTGGTTCAGTCTGTGCAGCTTAGACTAACCTGAGAGGATTGAATCGATTCAGCCTCAGGTTTTTGACTGCCTGTTCTTAGCCCTTATACCTTGAGGCATAAAGTTCATCAGATACAATGAATACTTTCATACTTTAGTTATGCACTGTCTTACTGAGACTTGTGTGATGTGTCTGTCTAATCTGCTCTCAGACATGATCCTTTGTTGTCTTGTGCTCATACAAAATAGCTTTACATTTTAGGTTGATTTATAATCTACATCAATAAATTGGCTATCTATACATTAGCAATGAGCCAACAGTATGCCCAAGAAGGCTAGCAGTATACTGGGCTACATTAGTAATATTGCCAGCAGATTGAGGTAAGTGATTATTCCTCTCTATTCATCATTGTCCCAACATGCCCTATTGGGCCTCTCTCCCACCTTCTTGGGTGGAAGGGCTGTGTCCAGCCAGCAGCTTCCAGGTGGGACTCCTGCTGCAGCCAGAACCTGCTCACTTGGGACAGCAGGTAGGGAAGCGGCAGGGCTGATGGGGAGGGTGGAGTTGCAGATGGTCGAAAGTGAGAGCACAGCACAGAAACTGTACCAAGAAAATCAGTGGGAGTGCAAAGCGTAGCTGTGCAGGGTGTCGGTGTGAGGGTGTGGGGATGTAGGGACCCCCTCACACACATTCCCCCTGTGGCGTGCAGCCCCAGCTGCCAGCAGCAGCAGCAGGTGGGGAGGTCAGGGTGCTACTGCCAGGGGCAGGCCTGGCTCCTGCCAGTGCTGCACGAGGGGAAGGAGCGGAGCCTGCCCTATCATTGGGGCTGCATGCCACGTACCTGCAGCTCCACCTTTCGTAGTGGGGGAAGCCCTGCACTGGAGCCTGCTGCTTCCTTGGCTCCATGCTGCGCAGGTCTCTGCACTCTGCTGGAAGTAGAGGGAGCGCCACCCCCTACTTCTTCACAGAGTCCAGCCTGGGGCTTCCCCACTGCAAGTGTGGAGTTGCAGGCACACGGCACAGAGCCCTTACGATAGAAACAGCCAGCACTCTGCTGCACACACACGTGCGCGCGCATACACACATGCACGCGCGTGCACACACACACACACACACACAATATAAAAGGGTTTATTTTTGAGTTATTATGCAATCCCTTCTATATACAGTAAACAATCACAAGTGATGACAAATATTTTTTGAAATAACATTAAAATATATTAGAGTAGGTGTTTGACTCTAGTGTGTGATTTGGCTTTTTTCTGGTTTTAAGATGGCAATCCCCTTCTTCCAAAAGGAGTATTTGGCGGGGAGAGCAGCAAGGGGACAGACTTCCGGGGGGCAAAAGTCAGGCACTCGGGGGCAGGACTTCTGGTCCCAATTTAGTGACCAGGGTGTGGGGCAACTGTCAAGAGGCACGGCTACCAGTGTGGACCCCGACAGCTTGCCAAAACTTGTTAAGTGGCCCTCTGCCTGAAATTATTGCCTGCCTCTGAGCTAGACTGTCCTCAGTGGTGGCAAACAACAGAACAAGAAGCAATGGTCTCAAGTTGCAACAAGGGAAGTTTACATTAAATATTAGGAAAAGCTCTCTCACTAGGAGGGTAGTAAAGCACTGGAACAGGCTACCCAGAGAGGTTGTGGAATTTCCATCCTTGGAGGTTTTTAAGACCTGGGTAGACAAAGCCTTGGCTGGGATGATCTAATTGGGGATGGTCCTGCTTTGAGCAGGGAGTTAGACTACATGACCTCCTGAGGTCTCTTCCAACCCTAATTTTCTATGATTCTGAATTAACATGCTATATTTTGGGGTAATTGCACTTCATCTGCCCTTGGGGAAAACCAGGAGTAATGGCCACAAATTCCTGGAAGACCATTTCAGGCTTAACACTAGGAAAAACTTCTTCACAGTTAGGGTGTCCAGACTGTGGAATAAGCTC